TGGAGAGGTGGCTCTGAATTGTTTAGGGACGATAATTGATGTAACAGATGATGATCTCAGGTTCTTTCTCCTCTCTGTCCCTGTCAAAGTGGGTGTTTGGTGGGTGGCCTTCTGCTGTGATATAGAAACTTGGGCTTCGTCCATCAAATGTGCCACCGTATTCCTGGGGCCTCCTGGGTCTTCCATGTAACCAGCCAGGAGAGGAGGAGAGCATGGAGGGTCTAGTAGGGGGATTTTGCTGCCCAGCCTGGCCTTGCAGGGGTCTGTATGGCTTCCATTCATATTCCAGTGGCAAGAATCCAGGCTCTTCCCTCAGGGGAAGCTGAGGCCAACCTGCCCAAGAGCCTGAGAGGAGGAAATGCTGAAATGAAGATTAGGGATTATCTGCACGTTAATTTGTCTTCCTCTCTACCTTGGATAAAAGAAGTTCATGTACAAGAATAAGTATTTTATTAAGCTCTAACCAGGTGCCAAGCACCATGCTAGGTGGTAGGTGGGGCGGCTGCCTGGGGCTGGAAACCCAGGTTCCTGTCCTGAGGTCCTGGAGCAGGCGAGTGCAAAGGTAGCCAGATGCTTTGAGAGCACGTGAAAGGGTAATCCAGCCTCTGGGGGAAGGGCAGGTTGGTGGGGCTGAACGCCAGATATGAAGATGATTCATGCCTGCCACCAGTTTGAGATTGTCCTAGGTACATTATATTGCTTCTATCCAACTCTAGTTAGCAAAGACCAATTTGTGCATTTCCCCTGGGTAATAATGAAAGACCAGAGGAAATCTCTCGGGGATCAAGAGATTTGGTGCCTGGCTATGAATCCGTGTCCCCTCTGTTGTGACTGTGTCATCCTGATGCCCGGGGGTGGGGGGGTGTGAGCCTGGCCAGACTGAGTGTCTCCTGCTGTGGACATCTCCCTGCTGTAAATACTGTGCGGCTCACAGTCTAGCCGGCTCGCCAGAGATGGTTGACTGCTCTGAAAGCTGACCTCATTTTTCCTGCCCACCCATACTCCCACTTCCCTCCCTGCAGAGCAGATGGCCTCTGGAGTCATGCCAGAGCTGTTCCCTGGGCAGAGAAGCATCTAGCTTTGGCAGTACCGAGGGTCCTGGTCCACACCCCCAGAATCTGAGCCTACAGAAATGAGGGGGGAAGAAGACATTGGCCCTTCTTTAGCTCAGATGCAGTGAGGATGAAAAGGATGAGAAAGGGCTTTCTAACTGGGAGCTTGGAGAAACCTTTGTGTGGGTGTAAAAAGGTCCCTCAAATCCCTCAATTCCTGTTACCTACACCACTGTGTCATAATCCTTGTTGCAATAGGAAGATTCTTGATTCTATATCTTTTATGTTTCCATAGTACTTCTAGAAAGAGCAAGAACT